GAGCCGAGGGGGGGCAAATGCTTGTCCACTTTGTTTTGCAGAGCAGACACTAGGAGACCACCTGGCTTAGCACCCTCTCTCAAGCCATGGTCAGACACAAGTGCAGAGGAATGAGTTACAAGAACAAGGCAAACCAATGGTGGTATTTCTTCAGCATACTCACCAAGCTTCTAAGAATGTGCAGCTCAAAACTTCCTAAGCCAGAGGCAGTGGTTTTAAGTTTAATAGCCCTTGATGGATTTCTCTTCCATGAACTCATCCAGTCACCTCATTAGCTGATGTAACCTCTCAGCATCCACATCCTGTGGTGAGCAGTTCAGCAGTCTGACCACACCATGTGAAGAGCCATCTCCCTCTGTGTTCATTCCGGCACCCAGTGCCTTCTGCTGCTGTTGCTATGATCAGTAATTTTGGCAGTTTGTCTTCTCCATGCTTTGCTTAATTTTACAGATTTCTGTTGCATCACTTTATCAGCGCTGTTAGTACTCGGACAGGAGTTACTCTGTTCCTCTGATCACCTTTGTTACATCCCTCTGAACCTCCTCCCTCGCCATTATACATCTTCGAGGTGGGGAAATCGACAGCCCGAGATACGGAAGATGTGGGCACACCATAGCTTCTACAGTGAAACAATGAGGATTCCTTTTTATTATTTTCCATCCTGTTGAAAATAATCTTAATGTTCTATTTCCCTTTGGTTTTTAATTCACATCTGCACATTGCATTGATTTTTTTTTTCTGAGTTGTCCATGGAAGACTTTATCAAAGCTTCTGCATCTACCATGACCTGTAGGAATTAATTTCTATGATTACAGATACACTGTTTCCATGAATTTTCAACCTGACGTGCATAGTACGTTTATCTCATATGAAGATACTCAAAGAGAAAGGGTGATTGAAATGTCCCAGTACATGATGCTCTGTCATGCAAGCACTTCTTGCAGGTTTTGGAATGACAGAGGTTTCATACCTGAACTTCCAAATTTCCATTCTGATCTCAAACGTACATACACATCCTCTAGATTTTTTCCCATATCATCGTTTCACTTTGCTCCCTAAGAACAGTGGTAAAACAGCTGAAAAACACCTTCTGTCATAATCAGGCCAGTAGCAGACTATCTGTTTTACACAAACTTGTGCCCAAGCAAGAGAAGGTTAGATAACCACCCTGTTCCCACCACTTAACGTGGTCAATTTTGTAGTATCTCGGAGCTCTGGGCATGCTACCTACCACAAAGACACAGGAAAAAGAGATGGTATTGCCTCAGAAAGCTTGTAGGCAAAGGAGGGGACAAGGAAGAGCTGGCAGGTACTGACAGGGTACTGGGCACAGTGTGTGGTAATACTATTTTCTAGTGACAAAGGTCCAAGCTTACCTAACTTTTGTGAGAGTTTTATTTTTCTGAAGTCACAGGTGAATTTTCAGACTGAAGCAGGATTGAAACAATTAGCATTGGGGATGCCTAAGACTATTCCTCCCAAATCTGGCAGGTAGCATGCAAGAAATGCTAATTTCTGCCATGGTCCTTGGATAAAGCAACAGAAATGTCTTTACCAAAGTGTAATTAAAAACATTTTGGCTGGACTGAGCTATACTTCATGGTTTGCCTTCAGGGGGAAGAAACACAGGAAGAGAAGCATAAAAAATGGTACCTACACCTCTATCCCCAAAATGTACATTGAATTTATGTGTATGAGGCCAAGAAAGCTGTGCCCCCATATCTCTCAATCTAATCTGCCAACATCCCTGAGCCACCACAAGATAAATGCAAGGAGTGGAGAATGAACCACGTCTGCAGTTTCCTCAGCTCCTTATTCAGAACACGAGCCTACACGACCACATCCCTTTTTACCGCCTTGTCTTTTCTGCCCTGCAACTCTTGTATTTCTGAATTCAGCTGGCAATATACTGGCATATATATTGTGTGGCCCACAGCATGTCACAATAAAGAGTAGTGGCTTTAGTCCCTCCCAAAAAAATGTGCAATACCAAAAGCACCACTACAAATCCACCACTCTCTATGCATTCTGCTTAAATGCTATTACATGATGTTTCCTTTGCAAACTTCAGTAGTCAGACTCATAAAATTATTCTACCAGATGATGCTGATTTCTGACTGAATTAAACCAGCTAAAATACAAATACTTTCATGGCCTTAGTCTACTTTTCCAATAACAAGTTTGAATAAGATCAGTGATCACCAGAAAGTTAAGCCAAATCTAGAAAAACTACTTTTTTTATACAGATAACAATCCCTCTACAAAATCTGCAATCGAAGTGCATCTGCCCTAAGAGCCTGAAAACAAAACTATAAACACAAATGGAAGTTCCTTAAATTAATCTAAGACAGAAAGAAAAGCAATTAAATGCACATAAGATGTATATTTAACTGTTTTTTTTATCAGTATGACATTTACCAATCCAGGAGAGGGGCAAAGCAGAGGCAGGGGCTGAAAAACACAGCAGGCAGTATTGGGACGAAGATGAGGAGGATGAAAAAGCAGTAGTACCATGCCCCAACCATTGAAAGACTGGAAACCACTGCTTTTGCTCAGATATCCTGTTCCTGTACACTACAAGTGTCAACTTTTTTCCTCCCACCATTGCTTCTCTTGGTCTGGGTTTACCACTTCTGTCCACAGTTCCTTGCACCTTGTTCCCAAGCTTTGTCATCTATGACCCCACCAAATCCTTTGTCTTAATTCAAAGTCTCTGCTCTTCAATTTCTCCATGTCTCCATCATCAATACTTCTTCTCAGTTCTAGTCCCACAATTTCTTGTCACCATGCATGTGAACTAAGCAATTTCCTTTTCCACCTTGCCTTGGCATCACTTGTACACTCTGCCACCAAAGACAGAGTCTTCAATGCTCCCTCCTTTACGGTGTTCACTGTAGCAGCAACATCTGGGAAGAATAACTGTGGGGGAAAGTCCACTCAGCCCTTCAGCCACCAACTGGAGTGCTCTCATCCTTCCCAGGGAGACAAGCAGTGATCAGCTCCTAACAACGCTGGGTGTTCAGCATGCCTTATGCTGAGAGCATTTTCAGCGAGTGCAATGGTCGAGCCCTCAACAAGCCCTCTACCAGGACCATGCAACCTGAGCCTTGTGACAAAATTAAAACTAAGAAAAATTCTGGAAGCTTCTAGAGGCTAAACATAAGGCACACCCCCATCACAAGACTGATCTCAAGCCAAGTATCTTTTCCCTGCTCCAAAACACAAAGCCACAAGAATTCAACAGTCTCAATGAAAGCGTTTCTCAACATAGCCAAAATACGCAGATTCACAGAAAAGATCAAGGTCTCCTAATGCAGGATGATGTATACCTGAACTACCTTCATCAGATATATGGCCAAAGAATACACTTCCCTCTAACCATGTTCTCAGAAATAGCTGAACCATTTCAAACGAAGCTTCCCAAAGACAGTCTGTCTTCAGCAGGCACTCAACTTGGAAAATGTCAGCCTAGGTTTAAGCTTAGCAAATGCATAAGCACCTGATAGCACAGCATTGTACTAGAAAGCACAAGGTAATTTTAGGAGTAGACAATGTTCCTGCATATGATAAAATAACAACTCCTTCAAATGCTCTAGCATGTTCCAGAGTAGAGATTTGGGCAAAAATCATAATTCTGCAAAGTATAGTCTTGGGTTCAACATGCAAGGCAACACCTTTATTAGTGAGGGAAAGAAATTTTAGGCAAGCCTACCGTCTCCAGGCTTTGGAGCAAGGTACAGAAGGGCTTTCAGCTTGGGGAATCACCCCGCTGTCACATACCTGCTTCAGGAAAGCCTTCCATTTTCACATGTTCAGTGAGACAGTGCACAGCTTGGCAATTCTGTTCTCCAAATATTCCTGCTTCCAGGCCATCTCTACAGAGCAACTATGTGTCCATATTCATCTACAGAAATGTATGCAGGATTGGGCCCTCAACCAGCTGACAGCTCTCAGAATCAGGTACAGATCAGAGGATGAGCTAGCTACGCCTGGACACTGTGAACACTAATTATTTAGTACCAGGAAAAAAACTAAAAACCACAGTTTGGCGCATTAACATCTCACACCAAGGTAAGAGAGAGATAATTTTCCACTTCAAGAGGCAGCCACTTGTTGAACTGAATGCTCAGGTTAGCTATGCCCACCTGAGGGATCCCTACAGCCCTTCTGGAGATTTAGTGCCATGAAAAGATCCAAGTTCCTCTGCTGGCTGTAACGCTTATAACCGCTAATTATTTCTGAGTCACTTGAGTGAAAGTAAGCTGCCATCCTGTAGACAGTTAAGGACTACAGAGCAAAGTTTCTGGATGAGCGTGCTTGTTAATTGACCAATCAGGCTAGTGACCATAATGGAAAACACTACAGAACAACTCTGTGTGACTCCAAGTGTTGCCGTTCAGCCGTGGATTTAATATTTACCCCCTTGCATACACGGAAGGAAACACACAGGAGCCCAGCTCAGGGCTGCTGCTGCAGCAGCAAGGCTCTCCCAGCACATGACACAGCCTCTGCTCCCACCAGGAGCCTTCGCCCATTCAAAAACCTCACTGGTCTTATTGGAAGTTTTCTTTGACCAAACACTGCCCGATCGCATCGCAGACCCTGTTCCAATCTAGCCTATATGAACCATCGAAGTCTAGAAACCTCCAACAATACCAAGACGAGACAGGGAGAAGAACAGCGGGGGGGCGGGGGGGAGCAAGTTATTTTTCCAAAAGGAAGGGCCCAGCCGGCCGGACCCCGGCAGCCCGGCCGGGACAGACACGGCGCACATACTGTGCTCCCCACGTAAACTTTCCCGTGGCAGAGACGATGCCACCCCGCACCACCGGGCGCGTCCGTCACCGCCGCGGTGCGTAGAGCGGAGGGGAGCTGGCCCCGGCCGCCGCCGCGGGGGGTCACGCGTGGGCGAGCATCCCGCGTGGGTGCCCGAGGCGGGTGTCGCGGGTGGGCGCCCCGCGGGGCGGAGGGAGGGGTCAGGGCCACAGGGCCGCCGTTACCTGGGGTGCCGGTGCTGCGGGAGCGCGGCGGGGAAGCCCCAGCCGCCGCCGCCGCCGCCGCTGCTGCTGCTGCTGCTGCTGCTGTCCGCGGTGGCCACCTGGGCGCGGGAATCGGCGCCGGTACTGGTGCCGGTGCCGCCGAGCTGGATGCCGCCGCTTTTCCGGTGCCTGCCGGTGCCGCTGCGGCAGCGGCCGCCCCTGCTCCAGCCGCGCAGGAGGCCGGCCTCGGAAGCCGGCAAACTCTTCCTCGCCGACGAGGAACCGGGGACGCTGTCCGCCTCCTGCCTGCCGCCGGTGCCGGTGCCGTGTCTCATGGTGCGCGGGGCCGCCGCATGCCGCGCTGCCGCCGCCCCGGGCGCCGCGGGACCCACGCGCGCCGGGGCCAGGGGCTCCGCCGGCACCGGGAGGCCGCCGGGAACCCGGGCTGCTGGGGGGGGAGGCGGAGGCCGGGGGGCGGGGGGGCTGCTGGCTGGGGCTCCCGCTGGGGCATTAAGTTGGACGCGCGGCCGGGAGAGGCAGGGCGGGGGCGGGGGCTGCGGGGCCGATAGTTCTCCGCGAAGTTGGAGCCCGGGGGGCGAGGTGGGGGCATCCTCTCCGCCGGCCCTTCATCGCCGCCCGCCGCCGCCTCCCCTCGCCTGCCCCCGCCGCCGGGCCACCGCCCCGCGCCCTCAGCCGGCGGCGCTGCGGGGGCGCGCCCCTCGTCCCGCGCCCATGGGCGCAGTCGCGGCCCCGGTGGCAGCGATCGCCGGCGCCGGCTCCTTTCGGCGCTCCCTTCTCCGGCGAGGAGCGGGAGGGTGGGGGTGGACGGGGGGGAGATCAGACCCGAGGCTGGTGCTCAAAATGGGTCAGGGAGGGGGAAAGGGACCCCGGCGTTCGGCGCCCCCCTCCCCGCGGTTGGCTCCGGGAGGGTCGGGCTGGGGCGGTGGGTAGCGAGAGGGCTGCGGAGGAGCTCTCCCGCCCCGGCTGCCTGTGCACAAGTGCAGGGAATGTTCCACTGACCTACATATTTTTCCAAACATACGTGACCTTTTTTTTCTCTCTCTCTCGTTCTGTGGGAGGAGACAGGCGAGGATCCAAGAAAAGGAGAAGCTGGAAAGAGAACGAAAGGGGAAGCGGGGAAAAAAATAAAAACCTCAACCAAAAAGGCAGCCCCGCATCAAGGATGGTTCCACACCGCCGCCGCGAGCAAACCCCGGCGTGCCCACGTTTATAAATGTCTGCAGCGACATCCCCGTACTGCACCGGCGGCCGCTCCAGTACCTGAGCCCGGGAGCCCCCGCGGTGCCGCCGGCCCCGCCGGGCAGGGCAAGCGTCCAGGTGCCTGGCCGCCGGCTCCCGGGGCGATCCGGCGGTACCCCAGCACGGCTCTGCTCGGCGGGCTGGGCACGGTCCCCCTGCTCGGCCCCGGCCCGGGGGGTGACCCTGCGCCCTGTCCGTGCCCGCTGCCCCGGCGGCGGGAGCCGGGACGGAGGGGGGCACGGCACCGCGCTCCCCGGGGCAGGTTCCCGGCCTCGCCGGGCACAGGCAGGAGCTCCCGATCTGGTTATGCAACGCCGCACAGGCAATTGGAGCAAAACCTTGACAGAGAGCGCTATTTTTTTTTTCTTGTTTCAAAGTAGGTCATTCTTTTTATTCTCTAATTTGCTTTTTTTTTTTTTTTCTTAATAATCCTCCTGCAAAGTGGCCAGTTTGAGAGAAGGCGGTGTGCTGGAGCCGGGGAGAAGCTGGTGATCGGAGCCTTGCTCTCCACTCGACGGGCACTCCTGCCGGCTTCTGGCGGCGGCTCCAGCGGGGTCCGGCGTTGCTCTTCCTCCCCAAGGAGGGCAGCAATGGCCGGGGAGCGGGGCCACGGCTCGGGCGCTGCCCGCTGCTCTCCCCGCGTCTCCCGCCGGCGGAAGCCCCGGGCTCCTCCTCCCCCGGGCGCCGCCGGCTATTGCCCCCTGCCTCCTGTCGCCCTCGCACCGCCTGTGCACCCGGGGCTTGCTGGCGCTGCTGGCAGGCACCTCTTCCACCCGCAGAAGGGGTTTCCCCCCGAGATACAGTATTTGTTTTCAGAACAGTTGTGGTTTTTTGCTCAGAGGAGGGATTTGTTGCGGTAGCTGGTGCAAGCTCTGTTCCCATCAAAAGGCCTGACTGCACAGCCATACCTGTGGCAGCAAAATTTGTGTGGTGGGCCAGGGGCTGTTTCCCCATCTTCCCCGGTTCATCCTGCCTCCTTTTTTAAAAGGAACGTTAATCCTCGCAAAATACCCGCCAGCAGAGACCTCTGCCCACACCAGGTATGCGTGTGTGGTCACAGTGATGGTTGCTCCAGCTACCTGGCTCCAGCGAGGAGCTGTGCTGCTTCTTCCACTACCCCCACCACCCAGCTCACCCAGTTACCCCGCTGTGATGTCCAGCACCCCCATACACCACATCCAGACAGTTATTTGATCCGATTCAATCCCCTATGCAAATGTTAATAACTACAAAGTTATGGAAAAATGTTGCACTCCTTTGCTGAGCACTTTTACACCGTACTTTATACAACAGGCATGACTAATGTTGAAAGGGTAAAGTTGTTTACTTTCAACCAAGATTAAATACAAAACTTTGTAAAGCTCCTCCCTTCCTTTGGATGAAACCCAGCATTTCTTTCCCATTTGGAAATTGTCAAAGAGTGGTTAAACAATCCTTTGGCAAACAAGTAATGCCTGAGGGAATAAAGCATCAGATACACGGCGAACGGAATAAAAGACATTTCTGTTCCTGAGGTACTTTTCTTGTGTTGCACAATGAAGTATAACATAAAATTTTCAAGCCTTGTAAGGTTAGAGAAAAGGAACTTCCCATGATTATATACACCACATGATTTGATATTCCAGTCCTTTTGAAAGCCTACCAAAATCCTGCCCTGAATCCAACCCTGTGCTTTCAGAAGCTGGGAAACCAAGTACCTGGAGGAAAATACCACATTGAGAAAGGCAATCAGAGAGACACAGGGGTGCATTTACAAAATTACATCTCTACTGTGTTTTAACATTTTCCCTGTGAATTTCAAAGGACTCCATTGCACAAGTGAACAAGTGAGACTGGTTGAGGTTTGTTTCTTTATTCATTCCCTAGGTTACTGCTGTAAACTTTAATTAGGCTAACAAAGAGCAGAGCGGCTGAGGGTGAGGCATGCTTTATCCAGCCCATACCTGAATCCCGTTGTGAAATACCAGCCATTCAAAACACACAGCCTTTCTCTCAGTCTGGTGACACATGGAAAATTACCAAATACTGTCAATACTGAGTTTGGTTTGGAAATTAACCAAAGAGTTATGCTAGATGCTACATGTAAGAACATTAGGCAAGGAGCACAGTGTTCAATTTTAAAGAATTAAATCTTTTTATAATAATGAAGTATTAGTAAGCAACTTTTCAGACACCAGGAGCCTGTGATCCAAAGCCACAATCCCTTTTGTTTCAACTAGAATAGGCTGGCCAGCCTTTGTGGCCCAGAAATGATGCAGCACGGTTTTCAATGGGCCATGAACCAGAGGCTAGGTGTCTCCCAGAGCGGAGGACCAAGGAGAGGAGTGGGAGAGGACAGTGGCTCCCCAGGGACCCTGCTGCTCCTTTGTGGCAAGACCGTGGGAGGGATATGGGGTTGAGTGTGAGTTCAAACCAGACATACTGCATGTAACTCTGCTGGTTTGCTTTCTCTTGCTTCCAGGGATTTATATTATGAGGTGCCACCACTGCTGTGAGACGTAACCCTTGGCAAAGGAGCTACCTTGGATGTCCTTTGGCTCCAGAGCCAGAGCCTTGCTGCCAGAGCCTGGCCACTGCAACCTGGAAGCACAGGCCTTCCAAGTACCTAAAAAGGGCATACAGGAGAGCTGGAGAGGGACTTTTTACAAGGGCACGTAGTGACAGGACAAGGGGTAATGGCTTTAAACTGAAAGAGAGTAGGTTTAGATTAGATATTAGGTGAAATTTTTTACTGTGAGTGTGGTGAGGCACTGGAACAGGTTGCCCAGAAAAGTTGTGGGTGCCCCATTCTTGGAAGTGTACACGGCAGGTTGGATTGGGCTTTGATCAACCTGGTCTAGTGGAAGATGTCCCTGGCCATGGCAGAAGGGCTGGAGCTAGATGGTCTTTAAGGTCCTTCCCAACCCAAAATATTTTGTGATGATTTTATGATTACCTGTGCTATAGAAATGCTTTTAACATTTAGCAGACACCAGTACACGTTGTATTAATAAGATGCCATTTGCAGCCCTTAATTTAAATGTGAACCCTACATTTGGATTAGCATTTGTGTCAAAGTAAAAAGTGTTCCCCCAAATAGTCATCCTCTAATCAACATAAATGGCAACAGTGGCAAAAGTCAGGGATGAATCTGTGGGAGAGGTGAGCATGATGGAAAAAAATAAAGGACCCTCAAAGAGCCAATCAAATTGCACTGAATATGAAACTGTTCTCTTGAGTTTTCAAGAAAGTAAGAAGAAGACAGACAGGAATTAATTTGATTAATATTAATTAAGGGGCAGGACAGACCTTGTGCCACTTGTTTTCCTATCTTCCATGTTGAAAGCGAGAACAACAGAGATAAATGACAAATCTAGTGGTTCATGTTAGTTGCAGGAGTCACACCAGCTGTGTCTGCTGGCTGGGGCAGGTGGGCATGGGAGCATGAGGACAGATGTGAGGATGTCCTTCTTTGGGTAACACACTTCTGTAACCAATTTTGTCAGAAATTTCTGCAGAGAAAAACAGTCTTCTGGGGATCAGCATTATTTTTCATTCTGTGGCTTGCAGTTTCCTGAGGGAGGGAGGGGTAGTGCATACTTATCAACCAGCAGCACAGCCTCCAAATCAGGGGAAGGCAGAGAGATGCCGCAATGAAGTGGACTTCAGATGCATCCTACTGGTGCTGCTCCAAGCGCTAGAGTAGGATGGCTTAGGGTCTTCAGGATCTCTTCACCTAGAAAACCGGACTCCTTGTTTTTCTGCATGTGTATTACAAGAGAAGAGCCAATTTGCTGATTTGACCTTGCTCTAGTCTTATCTGGTTTGAAGAAAAAAAAATTCCATTGCTAGGGTTTTCATGGAAGCACTTAGCCAGGCATACAACCTACCCAAGGGCTTGACTTTCCCAGCTTATTCAAAAAAGTGTTTGTTGGTTTCCTGTAAGCGGTTAATGCACAGAGTGGGGAGGAAGAACACGTGGGTTGAAAAATTAGTTACCAAACACTGAATAGACTTAATGTCTGGAAGGGCTGGAATTGCTGCTGGGTGCCCAGAAAGCCCTAAAGCTTGCTGCCTTGCAATCTTGTGGCTGAGGATTTACAGCTTTTCTGAGAAGTAAAACTTCTGCAGCATGAGCTGTATGTATGCACTCAATTGCCACAGAGCATACTGTATGTGTGTGTGTCAGTCTGGCCAGCCAAAGCTCAAGGCTGTGGAAATAATTCCTTCTCATATGGGAAAGAGATGATCCACTTATCCTCTGGCTGACAGTGGTCTTTGTGCCAGTGCGTCTCTTGACTCACACAAGACCTTTCGTTCACTTGCAGCAGGATGGGAATACATCTCATGGCAAAATCCAGTTTCAGTGGGACTGCGCTGGTTAATAGGAGTAAGGAACTATGGCATGTCTGCACCTGGTAAAAAGGCTCTTGTCTGAAATCAGGCTGATGGAGCTTGTTCAGATTTGAGAACTGTTCAAGAAAATGAAGCTCAAACTCAAACCCAGGAGCAAGGGATCTGCTATTTTTTCTCTGGAAGTCCCAGTGAAACAGAAGATAATAAGGCGTTGTAGTGCCACAACTGAATTATGAACAGCTGGGAGAAATCTGAATGCAGATGCAGCATCTTTGTCTCTACCTTTACTGAGAAAAAAGGCTATTACTAACTGTTATTACATTTTATGTTTTATGTTACTATTGCACTGTGGTAGTACTTTTTTGGCATATATCCCTATGGTACATATCCCTATGGATCTGTACAAATATTTTAAGTCCTGCCAGGTTTTACAGAGACCT